TTTATTAGATTTAGTTATCTCACTTTGATTTTTATATGAAGTTTTAAATAAAAATTTAATAAATTATATAAATAATAATTAATTTTTTTTGTGAGATATTAACAAATTAATAAATAATTATAACTCCACAACCCACATAGGTCATAATAATAATAAAAATCAATTATGGGTCAATCAATGATTTAAATAATTTAATGATATTTTTTTTATTGAAAGTATAAGGTTTTGAGTTTAAATCGTATTATATGTGTGTAAAATAAGATAAAAAATAAAAATAATTGTCTTTCATTATACAATTAATATAAAAAATAAAAATTATAAACCAAAAATCCCGAGAAAGGACAATAAGGGGGAGAACTTTGACCTAGATCGGCCGGAACCAAAAAGCAATCAATCACATGACCTGGGTTATGGCACCAATTGCCACGTCATCCCAGTCCAGACAAAAAATCCCGAAAATTAAACCCGGAACGGTCAGGATTGAATCCACTTGTCTTTTTTTTTTTATTAAATCCCAATTTGGTCCCTGAATTATTGTTCGGACTCCGATTTGATCACTAAACTAAAAAAATCTCTGATTTGATCCCTTAACTATTGTATAGATCCCCAATTTGGTCCCTGTTGTTTACCAATTTACCCTAAATTGATTTTTTCGTACAAAAAACAGCTGACGTGTTTATTATTTAATGACGAAAAATAATAACTTAATGGTGAAAAATAATAATTTAATAGTCACGTGTCCTGTTAATAACGTGATATATCAACTATTTTTTATATAGAAAGATCAACTTTGGGCAAATTAGTAAACAGTAAGGACCAAATTAACGATATATACAATAATTTAGAAACTAAATTAAAGATTTTTTTAGTTTAGGGATCAAATTGAGATTTGTACAATAATTTGGGTATCAAATTGGAGATTTAACTTTTTTTTCTATATTAAAAAAAAATGGTAGGGGGCCGAAGACCTCTTGTCACGTGTTTCCTGATTAGTCAAAGCAAAGGCACGAATTCCTCTTCGTTTGTCGTAATCCAAACTCCAAAACGTAATCCAAACTCCAAAAAAATAGAATTTTGTTCCCATTATTTTAATTTTCCACCTAATTAAAAATAAATAAATAATTTTCGGAAGTCGCAAAACCAGCTTTTCACGCTGGGTCAAATAAATCCTTAATTTTTTTTATAAGAAAATGATTTAGAGTATAAAATTTTAAAATAAGTGAAAAGATATTTTTTTAAAGAAGTTATTTTTTATATATTTTATTATTAGATATT